ATAATAAGTACATTTATGTTTGTTAACCTAAAATATACATGTTAATTAAACTCAAAACCTTTTTGAATGAAACTGTTGTGCAAATTTACCAGAAGATTATGAATATATCAAATGAATAGAACTGGAGGTCATAGTTAATTAAAAGGTTATTCAAATCAAGGGTAATAAAAAATAAAAATTAATTATTGTCAGCTGAATGGTTATAATTGTAATTTTTGTACTGAAATACTAAATAACTGAATTACTTTCTTTCTGGGTTCTTAGTCTCTTACATAAAAGGTTGGATTCCTGAATCCAGCTGTCTAAAATCCAGTTACCTCCACCAAATTAATAATTTTGTCATGATCTTGGCACTGATGACTGGCTTGATTATTCATTTCATTCACCTGCCTAATTCGACCCACTTTATCATTACTGCTCATCTGTTTCATGTGCTTCAATCTCTATTCAACCTGCCTTCTTCCAGTCATCAGTGCCAGATTATTCCAGTCTTTGGTGAGAGTCTTTAGGCAAGCATTTTTGACTGCCTAATCCTGCCCAGTTCTGCCTTTGGACCTCTGAGCCTTCCTGTTCCCTTTCTGATCTATTTGCCTGACCTGTCTTCAGACCGCTGCTGGATTCAGCCTGTTTACCATACCTGGACCTGCTTCCTGAAACTGTCCTGGATTTCTCTTCTTAACCTCTTTGGATCTCTGGTCTTCTGGCTCGGACTCCTGTGATTCTCCTTGACTTCATCCTCTTGATTATCCTGCCTTCCTTAGTCTGCTTGGATCTGATCTTTTGCCTTTTCTTCGGTCTTCGGGGCTTAAATGTTTCAGCAGCGTCCTCAGTGTCTTTTCTGCGGCTGGAATCTATCTCATCTTCTGGGCATGGACTGCACTTTAAGACCAGGTTAGTGACTCACACATTCATAATCATCTTCCGCCAGGTTGATGTAGTCCTTAACCTGTGTTTTCTTCCTGCAGAGGTTCCTGCCCAAGATGCCCTAGCTGTTCACTGCCGATCCGTCATTTCAAATTAAAGGTTTTTGGGAAGGAGACTGTCTGTCTACCTGAATACTAGGTTCTCTGTTGTGGTGGATTTATATTTAATGCCAATCTAGGTTGGATGCCATATTTATGTTGTGAATAACTNATTTCACTGTATGTGTTACACCAGACTGTTCCATACTAACCAGTTGAGAATCATTTTAGAGAAAGAGACATTAGGGAACAGAGACGAGAGAGAGAAAAGGTATCGAGGTTGAAAAACAAGGCAGATAGGCCGATGATATGAGGAGCAGATTTAAGAGCACATTTTAATGTTTGTTAAAAATATCATTCAGTCACCTTCTGTCAAATTTAACATTTGTTAAGTTGTTCAGAAGGTAAACAGTACTGGGTAATTGCTGTAAGTCTAAATTTATTAAACATAAACACACAAAAAAAGCATGTGCATTCACTTTTACAAGCATGCACTTTCCATTCATAGGTGTTCCTATCATTTCATCAATACCAGGTGGATCTGTCTCTGCTCAAAAGGTCATAAGTTTGTCCCAGTTCAGCTCTGGTTTAATCCCATGACATTTAAATTCATCAAATAGATCAGTTTAATCTATTATATTATTTGAACTCAATTCCTAAATATTACATATGTAGTGTTTTGTTTCCTCCATTCTTGTTTGTGTAAAGAATTAAAGTGTATTTTCAACTAGTATAAGTTACCATGTTGTACTCGACAGTCAAAATATTATCAGATCAAATTAGAATTATTATCAGATTAGAATCAGATCAAATAACTAATGATAAGTTCATTTACTCAAGCAACAGGTAAAAAAAGGAAACTGGAAGAATTTCAGTATCTTTAAGAGCTTTACAGGAATCAATTTGTCGCATTATAGGGTTGAATCTAAAACAATCAAAGTCACAGAGTGCTAAATGTGTGTGGGTTTTCATGCCCAAGGTGGAACAACATATTTTCTCAGAAGTTCAAATTGTACCTCAGTAGACTCATCCTCAAAAGCACATTTTTTTGTGGCATACTTTCTAATCACGTGAGAACCAAAGCGCACAGAACCTGGAAAAGGACACCTAAAAAAGCTCTACAGAATCAGCAAAAGACTCTTTAATTATCGAATCTTTGTGTAGTAGCCAAAAACAAAGGTGTACAAAGGAAGAGAAAATACAGATGGAACACAATTAAAAGAAAATTATGCCTTTTGTAGACAGGGGGAAAAATAGAAAACATATTCTGCATTCTCTACTCAGTCCTAAATTAAAAGAAAGATTTTGACAAGTATGTTCTATCAAATTCTGGATTCATCCTGACATTGGATTAATAATTTATTACAAAACATAAATATACATAAAAACATATATTTCATTTTATTAAGAAAAACAAAACAAACAAAAAAAACTTAAAATTCAATGCAACTTCAGGTTAATATAGTGCCCTTTTAGGATTTTCCCAGAAACAATAATTTTAAAGGCTGATCTGAACCAGCTATAAAAGAAACCATAGATAAAAGGATTCAGAGTAGAGTTTGACAGTCCAAGCCAAGCCACTGTTTCAATCACATGAACGGGTGCTGGATTATTTCCAACAGTTCTAAAAGTTAGGAAAAGAAAGAAAGGAGCCCAGCAAAACACAAAAACTCCTAAAACAATAGCCAGAGTTTTGGTGGCTTTTCTCTCCATCTTACTGACAGTTGCTCCAGGCTTCATCTTTGCTTGGATGCTTCGTACCTGTCTCTGTGCAACAACAAATATCTTCAGGTAAATGCAAAGCATTATGAGAATAGGAAGGTAAAATGACAGCAAAGGTGCAACAATGTTTGCCATGATAACGTCAATAAAGCACATGTCCTGACAGTCATCATTGGTAGATCTAGTTTGTACAACAGTGATAGCAACGAACACAGAAACACCCCAGCTCACAGCGATCATGATGAAGACAACCCGGCCATTGATTTTAGATTTATATGTTAAAGGCTGACACACTGCGTGATATCTGTCCACAGAAATGCAGCACAGGTGCATGATAGAGCATAGGCTGAACAATATATCAAAGCTGTCCCTTATCTTACAAAATATACCGACATCATACATACACGCACTGAGAGAATAAAACATCCTGAGAGGGAAAGCAAACATGCCAACCAACATGTCAGCCACAGCCAGGGACAGAATGAGAGTGTTAGTAGGAGTGTGCATCTGTTTAAAGTAAATGACTGACAGTATTACAAGGAAGTTTCCACACATGGTGACAAGAGACAAGAAAGTTAGGAAACCGTATAATATTACACATAGAGGTGGATAAGAGGTGCTTGGTTTATAATTCAAATGTTTCATCTCAAAACA